TTTACAAGATTAGTCCTTAAGTTTCAACTATAAATACCCTAGCTCATTTAGCTTCAAAACCATCCCAAAGCATTCTAGCTTTCTTCCAATATATTAGAGAGAATTTAGAGAGTTTCTTGAGAGTTATTTTCTCATTTTTATCAAGAGAGAATTATCATTGTTTTCTCCTTGGTAGATCGAGAGAGGTTGTAATTCCTATTTTCTCATAGTGAAATTCTTCTACCGTTGCCCGTGGTTTTTATCCTAAATTTTTAGGGGGTTTTCACGTAAATTTTATGTCTCTTTTATTTTCATTTTTATTTTCTCAAATTATCAGTTGCGATTTTGCTTTATCCGATAGCTGTCTTCCGCAACAATTGGTATCAGAGCTAGATTAGAGTGTGTAATATCTGCTTATTGTCTTTGTGGTTGCCACCAAAAGGTGGATCCTCCAACATAAGAAAGTAAGAAGTTATTACCCATTCTTTGAAGGTTCCAGAGAACTATTCACGATAGTGAAATAGTGGGAGCTATCCGTAAAAGAAGCTATGGCAACGAAATTTGATATTGAAAAGTTCAATGGGAGAAATTTCTCATTGTGGAAATTAAAGATGAAGGCCATCCTGAGGAAAGACGGGTGTCTAGCGGCTATCAATGAAAGGCCGGTGGATTTCGCAGATGACATCAAATGGAACGAGATGGACGGGAATGCTATGACAAACTTTCATCTAGCATTAGCAGATGAAGTATTGGCAAGCATCGAGGAGAAGAAGATAGCTAAGGAGATATGAGACCATCTCACCAAATTGTACGAGCCCACATCGCTGCACAATAAAATTTTCCTTGAGAGGAAATTGTATACTCTTCGTATGCCAGAATCTACTTCAGTGACGGAGCACTTAAACACGCTGAACACTTTATTTTTCTCAGCTTACATCCCTAAGATGTACAATAGGAGAACAAGAACGTGTTGAACTTCTACTTCAAAGTCTACCTGATTTGTATGATCAACTCATCATCAACTTGACAAACAGTAATATCACCAGTCTAGTCTTCGATGATGTTGCAGCTGCTATTCTACAAGAAGAAAATTGGCGCAAGAACAAGGAAGACAGACAAGTAAATCTGCAACAAGCAGAAGCGTTGACAACGATGAGAGGGAGATAAACGGAACGTGGCCAAAGCAGCAGTCATAAACATGGTAGATCGAAGTCGAGGAGCAAGAAGAATTTAAAGTGTTACAACTGTGGAAAGAAGGGTCACTTGAAGAAGGATTGTTGGAGTCTAAATAAAAACTCCAATCCACAAGACAACACTGCAAACACTTCATATGATGGAGATGCTCTATGCTGTGAAGCGTCAACCACCGTGGAAGGTAGAAAGAGATATGCAGACATATGGCTCATTGATTTAGGAGCAACATATCACATGACCTCAAAAAGAGAATGATTCCATCATTATGAACCTGTCTCAAGAGGATCTGTGTATAGTTGCAATGATCATGCCTTAGAGATCATTGGCATGGGAACCATCAAATTGAAGATGTATGATGGAACAATTAAAGTTGTTCGAGATGTACGGCATGTGAAAGGCCTGAAGAAAAATTTATTATCCTACGGATTGTTGGATAATAATGCAAGCAAGGTTGAAACAAGGAAAGGAATCATGAAGGTGTTCCGTGGAGCGCTTGTGGTGCTGAAAGGTGAAAAGATATCAGCAAACTTGTACATGCTGAAGGGAGAGACTTTGCTAGAAGCAGAAGCCTCTGTTGCCTCATGTAGTTTAGATTCTGCAATGCTATGGCATCAGAAACTTGGACACATGTCAGAACAAAGAATGAAAGTTCTTGTGGAGCAAAAGCTACTTCCAGGCTTAACAAAGGTATCACTTCCTTTGTGTGAGCATTGCATAACAAGTAAGCAGCACCGGTTAAAATTCAACACATCAAATTCTAGAGGCAAAAGTGTTCTAGAATTGGTTCACTCTGATGTATGGAAAGCATCGGCTACATCCCTTGGAGGAGCAAAATATTTTGTCTCATTTATTGATGACTACTCTAGGAGATGTTGGGTGTACCCTATTATGAAGAAGTCAGATGTGTTTTCAACTTTTAAAAACTTCAAAGCGCGGGTCGAACTTGATTCTGGAAATAAGATCAAGTGTTTCAGAACAGATAATGGAGGAGAATACACAAGCGAAGAATTTGATGACTTTTGCAAGAAAGAAGGCATCAAAAGACAGTTTACAGTGGCAAATACTCCTCAACAAAATAGAGTGGCAGAGCGGATGAACAGAACCTTGTTAGAAAGAACAAGAGCAATGTTGAGGGACGCAGGCCTAGAAAAATCATTTTGGGCAGAAGCAGTCAATACCGCCTGTTATTTGGTGAATCGAGCTCCATCAACTGCAATAGAGCTGAAGACACCAATAGAGATGTGGACTGGTAAACCAGCTGATTATTCAAACCTCCATGTATTTGGAAGTATTATGTACGTGATGTACAACGCCTAATAAATTTCAAAGCTGGACCCAAAATCCAGGAAATACAAATTCTTGGGATATGCTGATGGTGTAAAGGGGTATCGCTTGTGGGATCCCACTGCTCGCAAAGTGATCATCAGCATGGATGTTATCTTTGTAGAGGATAAACTACAAAGAAAAGAAAACTATGATAGCGCTGAAAAGTCAGAGACTACACAGATACATGTGGAAAATGAGGTTGAAAAAGGAGATTCTTCTGAAGCAGAACCAGCACATGATGAACAAGAACCAGAGAGTTCTGAAGCTCCAACAACTCGTCAATCAGATCGTGTTAGAAGACGTCCCAATTGGCACTCAGATTATGTTATAGAAGGTAATATTGCATACTGCCTTTTAACAGAGGACGGTGAGCCATCAACATACCAGGAGGTAATAAACAACTCAGATGCTTCACTGTGGATGATGGCGATGCAAGAAGAAATTGAAGCCCTTCATAAAAATAATACATGGGACCTTGTGCCACTACCACAAGGAAGGAAGCCAATTGGTAACAAATGGGTCTTCAAAATCAAGCGAAATGGTGATGATCAAGTTGAGAGGTATTGTGCAAGACTGGTGGTCAAAGGATATGCTCAAAAGGAAGGTATTGATTTCAATGAAATATTTTCTCCTGTGGTTTGACTAATAACAGTTCGAGTAGTTTTGACAATGTGTGCTACATTGAACTTACATCTAGAGCAACTAGATGTTAAAACAACTTTTCTTCATGGAAATCTTGAAGAAGAGATTTATATGCTCCAACCTGAAGGTTTTGAAGAAGACGAAAAGAAGAACTTGGTTTGCAGGTTGAACAAATCTCTGTACGGTCTAAAGCAGGCGCCGAGGTGTTGGTATAAGAGATTTGATTTCTTCATTATGTGCCTTGGATACAACAGACTTAATGCAGACCCTTGTGCTTATTTCAAGAGGTCTGTTGATAACAATTTTGTTATATTGCTGTTGTATGTGGATGACATGTTGGTTGCAGGACCCAACAAAGATCATATTGAAGAATTGAAGGCACAACTGGCTAGGGAATTTAAAATGAAGGACTTGGGATCAGCAAACAAGATTTTAGGAATGCAAATTCACCGAGACAGAAGTAATAGGAAGATTTGACTTTCACAAAAGAATTACTTGAAGAAAATCTTGTCACGATTTAGCATGCAAGATTGTAAGCCAATTTCTACCCCTATTCCTATTAACTTCAAATTATCCTCCAGTATGAGTCCTAGCAGTGAAGAAGAGAGGATGAAGATATCTCGAGTACCGTATGCATCAGCAGTGGGAAGTTTAATGTTCGCTATGATATGCACAAGACCAGACATTGCACAAGCAGTGGGAGTGGTTAGTCGATACATGGCGAATCCAGGCAAAGAGCATTGGAATACAGTAAAGAGGATCATGAGATACATCAAAAGGACCTCAAATGTTGCATTATGTTATGGAGGATCAAACTTACTAATCAATGGGTATGTAGATTCTAACTATGCAGGGGATTTGGATAAAAGAAAATCTACTACAGGATATGTGTTCAAAGTTGCTGGTGGAGCTGTAAGTTGGGTTTCAAAATTACAGTCAATTGTGGCTACATCCATAACAAAGGCAGAATATGTAGCAGCTACACAAGCCAGTAAAGAAGCAATTTGGTTGAAGATGTTATTGGAGGAGCTTGGGCACAATCAAGAGTATGTCTCTCTATTTGTGACAGTCAAAGCGCCTTGCATCTAGCAAGGAATCCAGCATTTCATTCAAGGAAAAAAACACATACGAGTTCAGTACCATTTCATTCGTGAAAAGGTGGAAGAAGAGACATTAGATATGCAGAAGATCTATACCAAAGACAACATAGCAGATTTCATGACGAAGGCAATCAACGCTGATAAATTTACCTGGTGTCGATCCTCTTGTGGCCTGTCAGAGACGTAAGCAACATGAAGGTACATGGTAGAAAGAATGATGTGAAGATATGATTGTTCCAATCAAATCTTCAAGTGAGAGATTGTTAAAAATCAAATGTCAAATTTGGTGGCTGCATAATTCTTTGGTCAAAAAATGACAAATAGGGAATGACAAATGGGCGGCTAATTCTAGTCCAAAATGGCTACAAATTTTATTGATTTTTTGTATAGGAAAATCACAAACTTTAGTCATTAGACTCTAGGGTATTTACAAGATTAGTCCTTAAGTTTCAACTATAAATACCCTAGCTCATTTAGCTTCAAAACCATCCCAAAGCATTCTAGCTTTCTTCCAATACTAAAGAGAATTTAGAGAGTTTCTTGAGAGTTATTTTCTCCTTTTTATCAAGAGAGAATTATCATTGTTTTCTCCTTGATAGATCGAGAGAGGTTGTAATTCATATTTTCTCATAGTGAAATTCTTCTACCGTTGCCCGTGGTTTTTACCCTAAATTTTTAGGGGTTTTCCACATAAATTTTATGTCTCTTTTATCTTCATTTTTATTTTCTCAAATTATCAGTTGCGATTTTGCTCTATCCGATAGCCGTCTTCCGCAACACCTAAATCATATGAAAATTTAAAAATTTTCAGAGGAGCAACCGCCTCTCTCAATCCATCCCTGGGAAAGGCAAATATGGTGGATTCGGATTTGGAAACAGAAAGTGATGAAAGGGGAGGTAATTGAGGTAAAGGCAATGATGGGAATGGCCAAAGGAATCCAAAATGTGGGAAAAGGAAAAATGCATTTTGAAGAGTTAAAAAGAAGTTGGGGATAGGTCTTTGTGATCTGTACACAATGTGGCATTTCTCTTGGATGGCCTGTAACTCAGTGCATTCAAGCTGTAGATGCAGAGAGATTGTATTGTTTTGATTTCACATATATCTAGTTAGTGGAACTCTTAAAACCTGGTACACTGCATTCTTTTGGTTTGCTCCTTATTAAACTCACCTCGCATAATGACTCAATGGCCAAACCTTCCACACAGTCAATACCATCAACATGCGGTATTTCTAGCTTGTACACTCCATATTTATCTGTAGTTCTATTGACTGAGACACTCATTTGCTCTGTTGTTTTTGGTGATTTTTCCTTAAATTTGCATTCAATGTTGACCTCAACACCTGGTAAAAAAACAAAGACAAGTTAAATATTCAAATACATGTGTTTGTGTTTGTTCCTTTATGAAATAGACTAGTTTTTAGTAAGGATGTAAATGAATAGTGCGTTCGATGAACTGTTCGTGAATCGTGTGTATAACATTTGTTTGTTAAATTAAATAAATGAATATGAACAAATTTTTTTGTTCATTTAATAAACGAGCAAACGCCAACATAGGTATGTTCAATTCATTTATGATCACGAATAAACTTGTTTGAAAACTCATTTGTTGACTTGTAGATAAACTCGCTTATAAATTCATTTACCCAATTCTCATTTTCTTTTATTTTTTTTAAAATTTTTAAATATTGGTGAAAATATAGACTAAGTTGAATACATTGTGAATTTTAGAATTCAGGCTGTGAAGCCTAAAAAGCATAAAGACTAGTTTTTACCATTTTTCTGAACATATAAAAAAATTCGTTCACTATCATTAAACAAACATATTCGTTCAACATCTGAATACAAACAATTTAAAAAATAAAGAAACAAACATGAACTAAACACGAACTGCTTCAAAAAGAAAATAAAGAAACAAACATGAACTAAACAAGAACTGCTTAAAAAAGAAATAAAAGAAAGCAAACACAACCTTATTGATTCAAATAGATTAATTTATATCAATAATTTTTATGGAGTTGTGCTAGTCTTATACCTGGCAAGAAGTAGCTGTGTCGAGAGAAAGTGTTTCTTGAACAGGTATCACAGAAAACAGCGCCCACTACTGTGATCCGAGAGATGGAATTTTGGGGTTGAGCTGTTGCAGAAAGTCGATACATCAAAGAGAATGCTAAAAGAAGAAGACGAATGATTGAATCCATGGCAACTAGCAAACATGAGAGAAGTGAAAAGGGCTTCTCCAGTTAAACACTCATATTATACCTGTTGGAAGTAGAAAGCAAAGCATTTTAGTTTACTATAGCTTAAGATTGGAGAAAATGTGAGCCGTACCCAAATAGCTATAAGCCCGTGAGTGGTAGGTGTTAGGACCAGACCAACTGTAAAGCAAGGAGCTGAAAATGTTCCCCCCCCCCCCCCCAATCACTAAAAACAAGACATGTGAAGAGCTTTCTTGGCAGGATGTGATAAAATATGGAAATACAGTGAGGTTGCTACTCTGTACCAGATTGACAATTGACAGCCATTGATCTGGGCGTCTGTATTTTCCTCCATAATTGCATAAAGGTCTGATCCAAGTCATTAACTACACCATTAACATGGATTTAGTTCAAATAATCTATATTATTTAATTTGATTTCATAATGTTACCTAACTTTAGTAATATAAAAGTATTTTGTAGATAGTATTCGAGAACATAAGTTAAATTATACTTTTCAATACATTTTTTATGTGATTTGTATTTTATACTACATACATAAAGGATAAAGAGTAAGGTTATTCTTTCTAGATGATTCGAATTTGAATAGTTATGTCTATAGGATAGACGGTAATCTAAGCAAAATTCTTAAAAAATATTACTTTATAATTAGAGTTAATTACATCATATGTCCCCAAACTATAAGCCTCATTTTAAATTAGTTCTTAAACTTTTGAATATTTCAATTCGACCCCTAAACTATGACACTCATTCTAAATTAGTCCTTAAACTTTTAAACATTCTAATTTCATCCCTAAACTATGACCCTCTTTCTAAATTAATCCCCAAGCTTTTGAATATTCCAATTTCATACCCATATTCATCCAAATATGTAATTAGTTTCAACCATAGTTTAACCTAAATTTTATTTTTTCCCCAGGCATATAATAATATAACTTGGCCTAACGATTTTATTAACAATGGATGTGATTAGTATACACATATAGTTTGAGATGAAATTAGAATGTTCAAAAAGTTTGGGGACCAATTTAGAATGAATGTTATAGTTTGCGGATGAAAATGAAATGCTCAAAAGTGTGAGGATTAATTTAAAATGATAGTCATATTTTAGGGATGAAATTGAATCATTTAAAAGTTTAGGGGCCAACCTAAAATTAGGGTCATACTTTGAGAACATATGATGTAATTAACTCTTATAATTATTTCAAGTTATTAAAAATATATATACTAATTCTAGTTTTGGCTTATAAATTTTACAACTAGTAATAATAATGGGATTTTCTAATTTTGGCATTTAGTAGCTTTAAATTTACCTATCCATGTATTGGTGAATAAGGCAGCTGCTTGGCTGTTATGAAGCAGGTGAAGCAAAGAAGTTAAGAACATATATATAACTAATGAATATTATTAAAAATTGTATTGTTTGGAGTCAAGAATGGACGCAAAATTTTATATTTAGAATATATATAGATTATCATTAGAAAATATATAAAGAAAATCTAAAATATATGAAAATTTAAAATTTTCATAATAACGGCTGTGTTCATCTGTCTCCTTTCGGTCTGTCCTTATGTGTAGGGTTGACTACCATCTACCATCAGTGTTCCCTTCCATTGCTGCAGCCTGAAGCTCTGAAGCAATGATATTAACAATAATGATGCTCCCTTCATTCTGCCCACATCTCCCAAATAATTTGCCGCCAGAATCCGCAAAAGCACCACATGTGCTTGCTTATAAGGTTTATTATGTAAGATTATTTTAAAGTGTATAATTATATTCGATTAATTCTAATTGTAAATATATGAACGATTATAATTGAAGTTATGTGATTTTTATAGTAGTCGATTAATTAACACGAACATAATTATATGTATGTTGGGAGGGGTCATGCCCTTAAAAAAGGGTATAATTAATTTTTTAAGTTTCTCCTAATTTTGATGTAAAACAAATTAGCTTTGCCCTATATTTTGATGTAAGGCAAATTGAACATTGGTTGACCCTCTCAATTTTTTATTTTTTGAAAATGCTATATTTTGTATGGTATTAGACGAACACACATATTGATAAAGATGTACCCACACCAATGCCAAGATTACAAAAGAATCGGTATCAAGGAGGACGACTACGAACCATAAAAACACTAGCACCAACAAACAAAACACCCTGGCCATAGCGGAGTACAAGATCATTCCCCAACCACGGACCTCCTGACAACGAACCAAGGCACCATCCTGTTACAAACAATCCAGACAAATACAACCAGCCAACAATAATCCACGCCAAACAGCCAACTAGGCCAAACATAACAAAGACATCAGCCAACGCCACCACACTCAACCTTCTTGCACCAGTAGAAACAAAACAGCCTTCAAACTTCGACATACCCTCCCTATGGAGCACCCTTCAAAGGCCGAACATCAGAACTGAAACGAGCTGCAGATAATCACACGCATAAGCAGAGAAGAAAGTCAAAGCCAGCAAACACAATCCTAAGAACACGCCCAACAAATACCATCAAAACCAAGGGAACACAAAAATACTGCCAAGCCAAGGATGAGAAAAGAAAAATCAAAACAGTAAACACAAAGGAGACCAGCTGAGAGCCACTGAACCCATCCCAGGCACACCTGGAACTTAGCAGTTGGCACCGCGAATAAGAGCCAAAAGCAGCAGCCCCAAAACTTGACGCCAGACGGAATAGTGATTATCCTGTAGGCTAGCTCCGACAGACGATTCACAAGAGAAAATTCGCCCAAAAACCAGAGAAAAAAAGTCTCTAGGGTTTAATAAAATATTATAAAATCAATAACTGTCAAAGCAGTCCACAAGCCGGACTGTTATAGCTAAAAAATCGTCTTTATTCGAATTTTGCCAAAATAGCAAAAATCGTATTTATTCGAATTTGCCAAAAATAGCAAAATCCCGAAATCACTCTAAATTGAAATCGAAATAAAATAAGCAATCTCCCAAAAATCCGGTCTAATCGGATTTAAATTGACTTCCTAATTAACAATCGAAATATTACCATAAATAGTAAAAAAAACTAAATCTAGTGATTCGGAGGGAAAACGGCAGAATTTGAGGTTGAAAAAAAGGCCACATGGAGCATAGCTCAATGTGGAGAGCGTGCGCGTCGAAAAGAGCTTTCCGGATTGGGGTCTTATGCGCGATTCTGACACCTGTAGCCAAGTTATGGCCAAAAGACTGAACATACTCAAAACGACCCCAATAAGGAACATGTCACAATCAATTCCCGCCTTTGCGCTGATCTACCAACTCATGGTATCTCAGCGCCATCAACGTGCAATCTGACAGTTCAGCATCATCTGTCTCAGATCCCCCTGCATCAGTCGCCCCGGGTTGGAAAGAACTCGTCCTCGAGTTCAGAGTAGTGTCATCAGGATCCACAAAACAATGACTCAGGTGCTTCACATTAAAGACATCAGAAGTCTTCAAGTGACTGGGAAGTCGCAACCTGTAAGCATTATCATTGATCTTCTGCACGACCTCACAAGGTCCAATCTTCCGATCCTTAAGCTTATTACTCACCAACAGGAAAACGATCACGAGTTAATACAGCCCAAACAAAATCACCAACATCAAAAAGTACCTGACGACGATGATTGTCGACCCGAGTCTTGTACTTGGTATTGCTCTCATGAATGGTCTGTTTCACCTGCTCATGGATACCCCGAAGATACTTTGCCATCTCATCTGCTTTAGGACTGAAACGTCCTATACGGAATAGGGCTAAGTCCAACACCCCGGATGGGTTCTGACCATAGACAATCTCAAATGGGCTTAAACCTGTGGTTCTGTTTTTTGATCTGTTGTAGGCAAATTCTGCCTGAGGCAATGCCAAATCCCACTGCTTCGGCTTCGTTCCTGCCAAACACCTTAAAAGGTTCCCAAACTCGGTTCACCACCTCAGTTGGCCATCCGTCTGGGTGGTAGGCGCTACTGAAATTCAACTGCGTTCCCAGTTTCCCCCACAGGCTCTTCCAGAAATGACTGATGAACTTAGTATCACGATCTGAAGTGATGGATCGAGGAACACCATGTAAACGCACAATCTCCTTGAAATAGAGATGGGCAATCCGGTCAGCATCCATAGTCTTTCTGCAAGCTACAAAATGAGCCATCTTGGAAAACTGTCAACCACAACAAAGATAGAATCAAGGCCCTTTGGGTGGCGGGGTAAGCCTAGTACAAAATCCATGCTGACATCGAACCAAGAGCTTCAGGAACAGGTAAGGGAGTGTACAATCCCGCATTGGTGAGAACTCCCTTAGATCGCTGGCACACATAACAACGGTCCACATAATGGGCCACATCACTAGTCAACTTGGGCCATAAAATTCAGAAGAGATAAGGGCCAATGTCTTATCTCGGCCAAAGTGTCCCTCATTATGGAGTTCACTTATAATTTGCTGCCTCAATGAACAATCTGGAATGCACAATTGTAATCCACGAAACAGATACCCATTATGCAAAACAAAATCATGACGGTGACCCTCAGTTACCTCCTGAAATATCCTTCCAAAGGAAGGATCAGCTGCATACATATCTGTGAACGTCTCAAATCCTGCAACTTTAGTACTCATGGTGGTGAGAAGTAAGGTACGACGGCTCAGGGCATCTGCGACGCGGTTCAAACTCCCTGCTTGGTGCCTCAGCGTAAAAGTGAATTCTTGCAAGTATGCTACCCACTTGGCATGACGTCTACTCAGCTTGTGTTGGCCATTGATGTACTTCAAGGCCTCATGATCGGTAAAAGAATAAACTCCTTCTGTACTAGGTAGTGACGCCAATGCTTCAGGGACTGAACTATGGCATAGAACTCCATATCATAAGTGGAATAATTTTTCTTTGATCCCGATAGCTTCTCACTGAAAAAAGCAACCGGACGACCTGCCTGACTCAGAACACCACCAATGCCAACGCCAGATGCATCACAATTTACCTCGAACACTTTGTCAAAATCTGGAAGTGCCAAAACTGGAGCCTCGGTCATCTTCTGCTTGACCAGTTGAAAACTGGCCTCTGCCTCCTCAGACCACTGGAAATCACGCCC